CCCATTTGTCAAAAGCGTGCCTAAAAAGCCAACCACTGCTTTATTGATACATTTCAATAAATATTGAGCCTTTTTGATGTGTTTGTCTGAACACTCACCTTTACGTCTGCACCTGAACGCCTCACCACGTGACGGGGCCACAGCAAGGAGCGCACGGTGCCACTGACGCTGCTTTGACACGGTCGGACACAGTGAAACAGAGGACAAGACTTTGTACATTGTTTGTGCATTTTTATGACCCAAGAAGTAAGCTCCTGTAGTTCTTGTGATCTTTAGAAGAATTTGTGAAGGAAGATTTATGTTGCGAAGTTTCTAATTATTGCAAAAGAGAGTTTTCCCGATCTGCGTTTGTCTGCAGCTAATCAAGCTAACTATGCTACATTAAGCTAATTATGCTATTATTATTTGTCATTTATTTTCCTGCACCTTTGTAATGACAGTTTCCATTTTAGCTACCTGTTTGTGGATTTTTATTTTGTTATTACTTTTATGACTTATTTTAGTTCCTACTTGCCCAGACACATACGTTATTGGTTGTTTAATGTGTTATTTGCTATAGAATAATTATTAATACTCTTTTCCTTTGTCTGTTTCTGTTTCCTCCGCATACAATGTACAGACTGTGATCTCCTGCCAAACCTGCAACACAGCTGATAGAAGATCCTGTCGATAGTGTCCCCAACCATAAAATAACCTCCATTCTTCACAATGTTAATATATGTTTGTGCATGTTTTGCAAAGATGTGTTTTTAATTCATGGGGCCAATATGGAGGCATTTTATTTGTTTCATTGTTATGGCCCTGTTATAGCTTTGTAAAGCAATTTAAAAGATAATTATATATTCTGTATTCATGTCTCATGGCTTATTATTGTTGTACGAAAGAGTTAGTCATCCTTGTGTTTTTTCTCACAAAGACTCTTAACCCTTTAGGCGCCAGAGTTTTTTCAAGAAAATATACAATTTTGATTTCAAGATTTCAAAACGCTATAACTTTAAAATGGTTTGAGATAAAGGCATACTGTAAATTAGAAATATCTTCAGTTTGAACCATACTTTGGGATGGAAGTTGATTCGTCATCTAATTTGCATATTATGACGTCATCAAGGTGGCGGCCATTTTGGAAAATGTTAATTATTGTATAAAGACTTCAAAAAGCTGTAGCTTGGGAGTTATTTGAGATCAGGGAATACTATAAACAGTCAACTTGAAATATCTTTAGTATGAAATTAATTTGGGATAGAAATAAATTCCCTGATCCAGATTATAGATAATGTTTTAGCACTAGTTTGCGGCCATATGGAATTGTATTATTTTCAAAGACCTTCAGTGATCAAGACAGCACTCTTTATAGTTTACTGTCATGAAATCTGGAGATTGGTTTCAATATTCCCCTTTCAAAGAAGTGGTGAGCTTACTATTTTTCTCAGTGGAAATGAGGCTCCAGAATTTACCGTTTAGAAACAGAGAGATGAAATGAATGGGCACAGAACATGTCAGATCGTCTCAACAACATACAACAGGCTCTTCAACATTTCTAATCCACTTTTGTGGATTATTTTCTCTCAAGAACTGCCTTCATCCTCATCATCACTGTTGGTAAAGGCAGTGAACGCGATTAGCGATGTGTTTTTTTCCCGCGGCTCTCCCGCGACTTCTCCCGCGTTTCCCGTGTTCCCCGTGGATGTCTACCCCCGCTACTTTCTCCCACATGCCCGGTGTTATGATGCCCCTGTCCCCTCGACCACGGCCCCTGCTTGGCGTTCACAGAATGATTCTACCGCGGCCACACGGAGGACAAGCAGCCGCTGTACAGGGGCTGATTGTGGACTATGGAGCGCGGTCTCCCCGTCACCAATAATGTCCGTGTCTGCTTCACTGGACACCTGTGTGTCTTCCTCCTCTGAATCTGAGTGAGCCAGTACCAGACCAAGTACTTCTCTGGTACTGAAGACCTCGTGAGTAAAATAAAAAACCCTCTCTCCCTCTGCTCTGCTCTCGCTCCTCTCAGCTCTACCGCTGCTGCTTCGCCTCCGCGCTGCTGCGCCGCAGGTGTTTTACGAACTCAATTTACTCAAAAACTTTCAATATAACCACACCCACAAATGTTGCTCATATTACAGGCACACATGTCCACTAACCCCTGGTGAAAAGTATTAACAAAATTCTGCACCACATTTTTACATACAGCCTGTTTAAGTGAGCAATGTTGCTTGTCGCAATATTGCGACTTTGGCGCTTAAAGGGTTAACTAACTGTTAGTAACTAACTAATGAGTCATGCACTGCAGTATTAATAAATGATTAATTATTATATTAAAGGGTCTTTAACAAATGTGTAATAAAGTGTAAATAGTGTAAACTTTACAAAAGCTCACAAAAACTCTTAACTGTTAGTAACTGACTGAATAAATCATGCACTGCAGTAATAGTTTATAATGAAATATACAATTATTAATCATTAACATGTGGTTTAATCATGGTGTAACAAATCATCTATATATGTAGTAACAAATGGTTACTTCATAATTATTAAATCATTAAATAATCATGAACAAGTTAAGAACTTGAAGATTAATTATTAGTTAAGCATTTATTAACTGTAGTAAAGTAGTTATTAAGTATTTTTCACACTTAATTAATGAATTGTGCATGATTAATTAAGAGTTATTTAAACATTTATTAAGCCTAAATACGGTGTAGTTACTATAAAGTGTTACCGAGTTTTGATAGTTTCATTTTGAGACAGATGTGAATGGTTTACGTCCCAGTGTTGTGTCAGGTTCTTGTGTGTAGAGTTTTGGGACAATGAGCGAAATTTGGCAAAATATGTTCAAGCAATAGTAAAAAACTGTACTAGTACTTTAGCTCCCTCTAGAGGACATTGAGTGGTAAAAGCACAGTAGTATTGTACACAAACATCACACATATTTTAATATTTTATTTATTGTGAAAAGGATAAATGATTTACATTCAAACCAGACATTTGGAGACTTCAATTCATAATAATATGTCCACACATAACTACATTTCTGACCAATACAGTGATTAGTAAAACCCAGTGTTTTTTCAAGCTCAGATCACAAGTTAATTATCAAAGAAGTTACATTTGTTATGTTATTGTTATTTTTTAGACACAGGCTTCTCAATAAAGAGTGCTTATATTTCCATTTGCATCATCTCCCACCCAGTGCTGCAGAAATGGTCACAAAGCTTCTTGAGGTCCTCGATGGCCTTTTGGTTCATGTCACACTCCTGCAGTTGGTTCTTTGTGTAATTATACTCAATGTGCACCTCCTCCTTTAGAGTGGGAAACTCTGCACAAAGTCTTGTTCCTGGTTGGAATGAACCAGGCTTATGAACCAGAACCAACACCACAGGTTTGTCTGGGGCTGTGTGAAAACATCACATATTAGATAAATTCTAATTTGGCTGTGTCTAGTTTAGAAAGTGCAGGTTATTCAGTGTATAGTCAAACCTAGAATTGTTTCCAAAGCCGTTTTCATACAAGCGCTGTCCCAGGACTGGAATGAAGAGATGACAAGGATGGCGTCACATCCATCTATGTCCTCACTCTTTGTGATCCGAGGTGAATGTGAACTTATTTCTCCAGGAGCTTCTGGAAAGCCTGGGAGGTCTCACCCATGATGATGGTGAACATATTCACTGGCTTGACTTCTTCTAAAGCTAAACAGAAAAAAAATGTATGCAATGTATGCAAGTTCTACTACAACACTGGAAAATAATAAGATAAGAATACACTGAAAGTAAACAAAGCCAAAGCCAGTAGGAGAAAACCTTTTTTTTAATTGCTCCTTTACTGTGGAATCAGCTTCCCATCCATGTTAAGGAAGCAGACACGGTCTCTACATTCAAGGCCAGGCTTAAAACACTCTTCTTCAATTTAGCATATGGTTAGGTTGTTTGTCCGAACAGGTCGCTTGTCCACTGCGCAGAACCGGGAGGACCAGACAATGCCCAAATATGGGCGAGTTCCGCTAGCCTTTCTGTGCCCATGGCTGTTCCATGAGCTACTGACACTGCATGAAAAGTTAGATTTTCGTCACCCTAAACGGCAGGAAATCACCCTCTTTTTCGGGTATCTCAGGCAGTTTTCAAGACCCGCTGTTAGGGTGCCCTGAGCTCCAAACTGCCGCATCCGTACCATGCTAATGTTCCTACTTTGCATATGAATGTAGCGAAACCGTGCGGCCGGCCGAGCGCTAATGGCCCTAATTAGCATATGAATGCAGCGTCTGGCCGGCTGCGTGAATACCCTTTTCACATTGGCATACCACTACTTTCAAACAAAACAAAAAACACTCGTGATTAGCTGAAAAATCACACGTGACCAGGCCAAGCCAAATGAAGCTAACTACTCATTGGATGAAGTCCCTACTTTCAAATAAGTATAATCCCTCGTGATTGGCTGGCAGATCTGTCATTATTGGTCACCCTGCCTCATAATTTAATGTAATAATATTAATATTAATATATATTTATTCATATTATGCTGCATATATTTTATCTTTATATATGTATATATGTTTATCTTTATATTTATGTAGGCTTCTACACTATTATTAGGCCATCAACGACATTTATAGAGGAAATGAACATCTACCAGGAATATGAAAATGCAAAGAAAGTTTTATTAAAAAAGGTTTATTATACACACACACACACACACACACGGCTATCTGCCCACACATTAATTTAAAAAAAATAAATCACAAGTCCGTGAACAGCAAAGCCTCCTCTGGGTTATTGTCTGTTGGCTGCCTTCTTTCCGAGGGAGGTCCGTAGCACAGACGTCTAATGTGCGTGGCTCTGAACTTCCGCGCCGCCTCTAACCGGGATTGCAGCTTCACACAGAGTTCAGAGAGCTCCGTCTTTCTAAAAGACGGCGACCTCACAATCCACCCAGACACACCGTCCACAACGCCTTCCTCTTCATCTGACATTAGCTCTACAGTGGCAGACTTCCAGAGATCCACCTCGTCAGCTTCGAGCACACCCCGTCTCAATTCCAGCAGCTGAAAAAAACAAACAAAAAAGAATCAGTAAATTTTAATAGCCACATCAAATCCGTGACAGCAGCTTTTTCCTATTTAAACATCGACTGAATCAAGAACAGTGTCTAAAGCAGACTTTGACATTCTTATCCATGCATTTGCAGCTGTATAACAGCTGCAGTACATTCAAAATGCACCACCTGAAGTCCTGACCAGAACCAGGAAGTACGATGGCAAGGCAAGTTTATTTGTACAGCACAATTTCATACACAAGGCAACTCAAAGTGCTGAACAAAATAAGAAAGCATTAAAACCCTAAATAATCACAGTACATTAAAAAGATAAAAATATAAACTCCCTTAGTTGTATGCACAGCTAAACCAAACAATTTTAACCTGGTTTTAAACATTGTCAGAGAAGAGGCCTGTCTCACTTTAGCTGTGCTACAACTGAGGGATTTTATATTTATCTGTGTTAATGTACTGTGATTATTTATTTTAATGCTTTCTTTTGTTCAGCACTTTGAGTTTCCTTGTGTGTGAATTGTGCTACACAAATAAACCTCCCTTGCCTTACTGTGCAATGCACTGTTAAGTCTTACCCTCTTTCTTCTTGCTCAACTCCGAGCTGAACTCTTCGCGACGTCCGCCCGCAATGCGTTTTCCGGCTTGGCATTTTGATGGCTCCTGCGAACCGACTCATAATAAGTCTTACAGGCCGCTAGAAAACAATCAAAAGAGTGGTATGAATAAAAATCAAACACAAGACGCAGTAACATGAAACAAGGAAGGAGAAACAAGTCACTTACACACAATAACGTCTTTATCAACATCATGGAAATGTGGACTTGCAGATATCGTGTTGAGCAAAAATGAGGTCACCGCCTCATTACGAGGAGAGATTAGTCTGAAAACAAAATGTACAGTTATGATTGGTATCTATACGTATCCATTTCCTTAATGTGATATTCTATAGCCCTTACCCTTGCTCTGGCTCGTAGCGCCTGGAATTCGTCTCCGAGTTGTGAAGACGACGTACCGATTCCTGTAAATGACAAAACATACACTTTAATCAAGCTTGTTCTTTTGCAAGGCTACTAGACTCTAGCCCTACTGGCAGGCACCGCACCTTTCACGGGCCTATTAACTCCGATTATAGGCCTAGTAGGCTACTCTTATCTTTGGTTTTTGGCTAGGCTACTTAGCTTAGCTAGCAGTCATTGAACATATTCTTACCGCAAGCTTGAGATTTGTTGTTCTTTATAGCTTTATACCATCTATAGCTTAGTTAAGAGACCGGGTCGAACTTGCGCTCCACCCGCTCAGGCCAGGCTACTCTTATCTTTGGTTTTAGGCTATGCTACTTAGCTTAGCAAGCGTTCATCAACATAATTCTTACCGCAAGCTTGGGATTGCGGACCCGTCTTCTCTTGTCAGAGTTCGTCTCTCCCGCACTGTTTAACTCCAGAGCCACCAACTTCTCCTCCAGGGACAGCAACCTGGAGTCTACAGAATCCAAGCGCTCCTTTATATCGGCAGTATTTAGATTAATCTGACGAGACAGTCCGCTGATAGCAATCAGCAGTCTTCTATCGTCAGTCTGCGGACTGGCTGTAATCTGTGGATCGCGTCCAAGAGGAGTTGAAGGCGAGTGGAACGTGAGACGTCGTCCAGCCATGATCACAAACCAGCGAAATGCAACCACAGGAATCTGAGAATTTTCTTCTGAGAATGCAACCATGTCTGTTTATATGCTGGTCTTCCAAGTACTGCTGTGTCGTGCCCATAACCTCCCACGTGATTGGACGAGGAGTCGAAGGCTCGTCAGGCCCCTCCAATCAGATGGGAGGTCATTGTTACAGGGAAAGACTCGCGAAACTGGGTTGCAACCACGTGACCAAAAGGGGCGTGGCTTGAGGCTGTAGGACAGGAAGTATTTTTCTCCTATTAAAAAGAATCTTCTTCTTTCTTCTTCCTTATTAGGCATTTTCCTAAAAATCAACACCCGTTAGTTAATAAATTTTAGTGAAATAAAGACTCCATCAGTTCCCCACTTGATATGAGCAGTTGCCACAACTGCACACGCCACAGAAAAAGAGCATTTTGACTCGGAATGAGGACTTCCTGTCCCTCGGACGTGCGTGACGTCACAGGCAACCCGACTATTAAATAAGCCCGCCTGTGAAGCTGCTTGTTATTTCGTAATGGAAGTTCTACGAAAGAGGAAAAGACATCGGCGCATCTGTGAACATTGCGACACTGAACTCTCTCATACACAATATTATGACCACAGAAAGCGTTATTTCAAAAATGGAGTTTGGGAGAAAGACCCCAAAAGGACTTTGTCGGATAGTATACAGAGCTGTCAGTTGCTATCCAGTCATGACCCAACCGTCGGGAGTTATGTTCAACCTGAAGTTGGAGAGATTTTTGACCCAGAAGAAGAACATGAAGAAATGCACCCAGCGACTGACGGTTCAGACAACGGTGAGCACCAAAATTGTAACAGTTACTGTCTAGTTAAATGTAGTTGCTTCCCACGGTTGTGGTTATTGTAGTAATAATAATGTATAATTTAATACGATAATTGCATTAAAATACATAACTATTTGTTGCATGGGTTGTTTTCCAGACGAAACAGAAGATGACCAAAGCATTCATCTTTTCATGGACTCCAGTGATTCAGAGTCAGTGCAAGATGAGGAAGACGTCTCCTGTTATGTGGTAAGGCATGAAATTACCTTTGAATATAGCCTACAAGTATAACGTTCTATAGCGGCTATAATCCAGAGCTCAAACGGGGAAAATCCAGCATTCACTGTTCTCCATTCTCAGTATTACTACTGTTACTCTCAGGGCACAGCATACATGCTGTTAGGAAACTATGAAAGCAACTAAAGTAAACAATTGAATTATATACAATTTTAAAGAAATCCCACAGTGTACTTTTAACAGGTTTATTACTAAAGCTATCTGTTTGAGATGCACTTAAGGATTTTTTTCAAACTACAGTTGTAAAATATTTTCATATCAATCAATGAATTAAATGCTTTTATTATCTCACAATGGAGAAATTCAGTTAGATGAATAAACATCAAGGTTGGCCATGTGCACTGTCCGCGCTCCTTATGACAGTTATTCAACAGCAGAGGGCAAAACATATATTTTAGACAAACATAATTTGGAGAGATACAGTGCATGTGGGTGTGGGGGGGCGAGCGGGGCAGTCAATGTAGGGAGGGCCCCGTAACTGGTGAATATTCAAATGGGCATGTTAATGTTGGTCTTTTCACTCTCAAATTGACATATTCATGCTCCGAGAATGGTCGTTTGGGGGCGCTGAGTATGGTCGTTGCATGCATTTTTAATGTGTCTTCTTTACATTTAGGATGAGTCTGTGCTAGAAGAGGAGGAGGATGATGAAGTGGTGGAAAGCTTCGATGACGAGCAGAGTGCAGCCTATCATCACATACAAGATGGGGAGGGGCATGGAAGTGATCAGTCCACAAGTCAAAAACCAGAAGACTTGTTGATGAGACTTCTGGCCATGATGCTTTTGTCATGGCAATCAACCTACAAGATTTCTGACAATGCCATCACATCACTTCTTCTGTGCATCAAACATTTCATGTGGATACTTGGAAATGTTCTCTGTGCTAATTCCCTCACTGCCTTTGCAAGCAATATTCCAAAAACTTTATTCTCCTTGAGGAAATGGACTGGTGTCCTCCGTGACAACTTCTTACAGTATGTGGTTTGTCCAAAATGTATGACAGTATACATGCTTACTGAAACCTACGAGCTCAGACGCGATGGCACAAAGATTTCTAAGACTTGTGGTCACATACCGTTCTACAATCATCCACAGCGGAATTCTGCATTAAGGAAGAAATGTGGCTTCTCCTTGCTAAGAAAGGCAAAATCTTCTTGCGGTAAAGAGTGTGTCTATCCAATACGTTCTTACTGTTACAAGAGTGTTGTACAGTCTCTGGAAGGACTTGTTAAAAGACCTGGATTTGAAGAGAAATGTGAAAAATGGAGAAAGCGAAAAATACCTGAGGCTGTGTTAGCAGACGTGTATGATGGACAAGTATGGCAGGATTACCAGTATGTGGATGGGAAGCCTTTTTTAGCAGAGCCAAATAATTTTGCCTTGATGCTGAATGTGGACTGGTTCCAACCTTTCAAAGATGCACCATATTCAGTTGGAGCCATCTACTTGGTCATTTTGAATCTACCTCGTGAAGACCGTTTTAAGGAAGAAAATATGATTCTCGTTGGACTCATACCTGGACCAAAAGAGCCATCTCTACATATGAATGGTTTCTTAGACCCCTTAGTTGATGACCTTCAAGAACTTTGGAATGGCACAATTCTGGAAGACAGCTCTTTGTTGGGACATCAGGTGTACCGAGCAGCCCTGCTCTGTCTTTCATCAGATATCCCTGCAACTCGAAAATGTGGAGGCTTTGTTGGACATGGAGCATACAGAGGTAATTTAAAATATTAATATTAAATATTACGTCAACAATAATGATTGAATCAGTACAATAAAGTATGTTTTAATGGATAGCAGTTTGTCTGTATAATCAAATTTTGAAATATGAATGTGTTTGTAATATATTGCATTTCTTACATTTGCAGGATGCCACAAGTGTTTGAAGACTTTCAGCAAGCAAGGATTTGATGGAAAAATGGACTACTCAGGATTTGAACGGTCTTCGTGGGAGCCACGCACGTCAAAGGATCACACGCACTATGCTGGATTATCCAAACGGGCAAAGACGAGGGCAGAGCAGAAAAGAATTGAACGGGAGTATGGAGCGAGATGGTCAGAACTTTTCCGCTTGAGTTACTATGATGCCATCAGATTTGTCGTCATAGATCCAATGCACAACCTTCTCCTTGGTACGGCAAGACATGTATTCAGACTGTGGACAGAACTAGGAATTTTAACAACAAAAAGCCTGGATGAACTTCAAGCTAGAGTTGAAAACGTCAAAGTACCCTATGATGTTGGAAGAATTCCTTTAAGGATTTCATCTGGCTTTACAGGATTTACAGCAGATCAGTGGAAAAACTGGACAACCATTTACTCACTGTTTTGTCTGAAGGGTCTTATCGACAACAGACACTATGACATGTGGTTTGACTTTGTGCAGGCTTGTATCATACTTTGCTCCAGAGTCATATCTGTCAATAGACTGGAAGAAGCAGATGGATACCTGCAGACTTTTCTCTCCAAATTTGTCAAACTGTTTGGCCCATTGCACTGCACGCCCAACATGCATTTACATCTCCATTTGAAAGAATGCATGTTGGATTACGGACCAGTTTATTCTTTTTGGTGTTTTTCATTTGAGCGTTTTAATGGAACACTGGGAAAGTTTCATCACAACAATAGGACAATTGAAGTCCAGATTATGAGGCAATTTCAGCAGAGCCAACAGCTTCATATGCCATGGACGTGTGAATATGGTGCAGAATTTGCCAGTATTTTAGGAAGACAAATGGTTGGGACTTTGTCATGCAATGACACAGCTGATATGCTTTACGTGAAGCACACTGCTTTGGTGTCAGCGGAAAGACTTTTCTTAGAAAACTGTACAGTGGTGCCTCTGTCTCCATTCCACCAGACAATCTTGGATGTGTTCGACAGACATGCAATATTGACAATGTATCACCAGATGTACGCTTGTGTCACTGATGTTGACTGCTTTGCCATGACATGTAAACGCGTAACATATATGAATGTAACTTACTCAATCGATGGATCTAGAGCAGAAAGGTCAGCATATGTATATGCTAAGTGGTGTGGGAACACTAACAGTTTTGAGGAACCCATCCTTGACCCTTTAGCAGAACTACGACCAGCCATTATAAAACAGTTTATGGTTGTTAATGTTGTCTCAAAGGGTACTGCATTTAAGCACGTTATTGCACAAGTTTCCTGGCTTCATCCCCATCCGGACAGACATTTTTATGGAAAGCCAATAGAAGTTTGGTGCTTGCAGGGAACAGACACGTCGCATCCAGCATCATTTCTGCCAGTTGAGCGTATTGCTGGGAGATGTGTGGTTAATACAACCTCTGTGCATTTAAGTAAGACCAAAGAAAAGGTCACTGTAGTCATGCCACTATGCTCAGTAGTTGAGCTCTAAGAGACCTTAATCTCTGCAGACCTGTCATTCTGATTTTAATGTTTGCATGGAGTGCACATTTTACCTTGCTGATTTTGATTAAATCTTTTTTGAAGTCAATTATTTTGTATCTTGTTTTTTTACATGAAGCTTACTTTTATTAAATAAATCAATCCAAGCTAAAATGAGTCTCTTATTAGGCTACTCAGCCTGATCTATTTGTACTAGAGATTTTCTTACCTTGTCACCCAGATTAGCATTTGTATAGCTCACAGCATTTCATTTGCATGTCAAAACCTCCCCTAGAATTAGGAGGAGGGGGGAACAACAGCCAAGCAAATTCCTGTGAAGAGCCGTTTACCTGAACTTCTGCAATCATTTACAGAGCCGCTTAGGGACGAAAATCACACTTTTCATGCAGTGCCGGTTGAAGGAACTGGAGTCTTCCTCTGGCAGAGATTTTCCTTTGAAACACAATAGAGGAGACATCAGTTTTATCTACTCAAATATGACTTTGATATATTCATCATCAACAACATCAGTATTTATTGGTCACCAGGAGTGGCCCCTGATGCACAGGATCCTTGAACATGTTTATTTGGACTGTGAGAGACTGCATTGTGAGAGAAAGACACATCGGCTGTTTTGGGAGTTGAGTGATTATCTCACTCCTCTTGATTGTTGAAGAAACTCAGCAACAGTTTTGTCAACACTGACTCCTGGAACATGATCGATATTCATTTTGGACCTCAGGGCAGCAACACAACTGTAGGGATGAACGACACACACATCACAACATCATAATCATCATAATCACTGAGTCCCATATATGCATTCACAACAACCTACATGACAAATGTGGGGTGTAAAGTCTTCCTCAGAAGATGAAAATGGCCGATCTTCTAATTCTGGAAGCAAAGTCTTGTCTTCCCAGTCAATACTAGAGAAAGAAGAGGTCAGCAGAAAAGTATCTAGTCGTTATGGCATTTTTTTTTTTTATAGTTATTTAACTTGCATTATGGAGGCTTTTGAACTCTTGTACATTGAAGACCTCATTCCAATTGATTTAGGCCATACTGGAAAAGATACAGAGAAAAGAATGCAATGAAGACATTTAAATTATTACAATGTCTATATTATATCATGCTCATAATTTATTTGGTAGTGGTCAGCAAGACTTTTCTTACTTATTCTCAATACATAATAATAAAAATGTATGTAGTGGTCACGGAAGTTAGATTTGAGGTAAAGATATATTGTTTTTATAACAATAAAACTAATATACAGAGTGCAAGTAGCAAAACTTAGTCATTGAAGAATGAAATGCAGACCTACATTATATATATAGTGCAAGCAACTATGTTTATTGGCAAAAACAAACGATTCATACAGATCAGAAGTGTTCGTAGCAGCCACATCATATTCACAACTACAGACAGCTAATGCTAACAGCGAACGCTAATGCTAACACCACTTCACGGGGGAACTCTGGTGACATGGTCTTACCAAATGGTACTCATTTAATTTTGTACATTTGGGGAACTAATAATTGACCGGAGTTTATGGATGGCTAAGGCCGGGATAAGGCTTCGATGTTGTGTTGTCTGTTGTTGTTTCTCAAAGCTAAGCCAAGGTAATGCGCAGTTATTGTCACAAAATGCGGCCGTATTTCTACAACAGCTGGGGATTTTTAACTAGCTAACTTGGTGAAAACCCGCATTACAGTCTCAGGCAACAATATGTATAAATAATACAACTACTACTGCCACTACTGAGTAACATGCTCACCTGTTCAGTCGGAGAGAGGAATCCACGGAGCTAGAGGTCGCCAACATGAATGCAGCTGGTCACCATGTTGCTCCTACTTTTTGTCCTTCCTCTGTTTCTGGCGTTTTGCCTGTATTTAATAAATCCATGGTATTTAGTCTGCAGCTTTTCCTTCTCCGCCATGTTTGTTTTGAAGAGTGCGCGTGCACACACGGGAGAAACCCCTTATAAGGCGTGCTCTCTCGTCATTGGATAAGCGCATAGGATGTGAGGTTTTTTTATTATATAGGTGGGAGAAGACTGGAAGGACTGAGAGATCCGTGTTTAGGTACAAACACTCTATATAAGTGATGGCTATTTGAATATATCAATATTTAAGACGTATATTAACACCCAAAAATTGGACCAAGATCCATCAGCAGTTACAGAACTGTAGGAATGAGGAGCACACGGCACAACAGATGTGAACAATAACAATATACTAAAATTAAATAAAA